CATTTTTGACATGTCAATCGCTTCTGACATCTACTATCTTCATGCCTGATCGATATACAATGGCTCCATGCGCTTAATGGATCGGCACAATTGGGTATATTACCTCGATCGGCCACATTCTGTTGATCACGACGATCTAGTAAATTTTTGGCTTAATCTGGTATCGTCACCATACACATAAAATTTAGATCCCCATCCGTTTTTTAAACTTTGACTTCAATTGCTGCTTTCGTTGAGAGCGATCAGGCCGATGATGCCAAATTGGGTGCAGCAGCTGACGAAAATTGTATGATCTTATCGATGCCTTGTGTTGTCGAGCCTAAATATCATGACATTGATAGCGTCTCTTCAAGGCACCAACGTTCTCTGGAGAGGGTCTAAGCTCAACATTACAAGCAGCTTGCAACTGCGATTGGACGCAGCGTCACGTAAAAACAAGATCTTTTAGACGCTTTGTAGTCAGAAGTTTTTGTTGAATAAAAAATACACATTAAACAAGGTAACTTAAAGGCTACTAAATTACTTTTCAAAAACAACTGCGATCGTGTGAAGGTCTCCGCACGATCCCCTCTTACTAATATAAACCCTATCAAGATCGACGTCGACTCGAGTTACCCAAAAGATGAAACTTAGCCTGCCGACAGGTGCATAAGGAAAGCGAAGGGATCCTTGTACGGAAGAGTGGTATCTCCTCCAATAACTCGTCGTCTGAGCCAAAGGAATTTATGGATCACAATATTCTTGCGCCACAACAGCGTTTACATAAGACACCTTACAAGGTTATATGGCCACGACCCAAGATCATCTCCTATGTGACACAACTGCAATCGGACGCAGTTTAGAGATAAGGCCAGGCCTAAGAGACGGCTCAAGTAGTCCGGAGGATTATGATAGGTCAGGTAGATTAGTAATCTACATATTATAACAAGGGCAATTGACAAAGCATACCGCGGCGACTGAAAAAGTCAATCACTTATAACATCCAACCGCCAGCAGAATTTCGCGTGTTTCAAGACCTTACCTAGCATACAACAAGACTGACCTCCAGAAAAGGCCACCGTATTTGTGTAACCGCGAAGACGACGGATAAAAAAGGTGAAATGAAATAGAAATACAAGACAATGCACAAAAGTTGTGGCAACTTCTCGAATGATAGGCAGTTTGGGCCCAGTGAGTGTCGAGTCGAGGTAATTTAAGCTATTCGTCAACCGCTTTACCAGATTAGGCTGATATGAATCTAATACTTGAATTCCTCATCCTATAAGGCACCACAACACGAGGCTGGTCATCCGACCCTGCACTATAGTACGACAGACCATCAGTCAGTGCATAACGATGTAAACTCGCACGATTACGTGGTGATAGCTTTACCTTAGCGTTTCAAACTCCGCGCTACCTAGCGCTTGCATAATTACAACACATGCCTCATCGCGTGCATACGCCACACGGATACGGTCCGTGACTGACAAACTCACAACAGCGAGATGAGCAAGCTCATAGTCAGGTCTACGCGATAACGCGTCATCCAAATCATTCTATTTTCCCGGCTTATACTTCACCACGAAGATATACTCCGCGAAAAAGAAGAGCCAACGAGCCATTCTCTGCGAGAGATGAGACGACCGTGTCGCTGTGCGTAGCGACGCATGATCTGTATAGATCACAAACGGCTTTGAGCCCAACAGGTGTACCCTGAACTTAACAAGGGCATACTTCATCGCAAGTAGCTCCTTGTCATGAACTGGATAGTTCTTCTCTTCAGCTTTCAGCTGGCGAGACTCAAACGCGATGACACGTTCTCATCGCTCAGCGTCTACTTGCAAGAGAGCAGTGCCAATGGTAAAGTCCGAAGCGTCACATGCTATGCTAAACGGCGATCAAGATCAGGCAAAGCCAAAATTGGCGCCTAAAGGAGGCTCTCCTTAATGGCTTCAAAAGCCTCGTGGTGCTCGGTGTGCCAACACCATTGCACATCCTATTGAGGATATCCGACAAAAAATAGTCTAGCCACTTTCGCATAGTTGTGGCTATACTTGTGCAAGTAATTTGCCACGCCCAACCACTTGCGGAAGGGTTTCTGGTTCCTCAAAACCGGTTAATCCACTGTGGCTTTGACCTCTACAAGGTCTGCCGAGATTCTTTGCTTCTCAATGAAGCATCCCAAAAAAAGAAATCTCTTCCGCACCGAAGATGCATTTGTCAATATTGGCATATAGCTTAAGCATCCTCATGCAACCTAGCACAGATCGCAGGTGCTCAATATGACTTGCCACATCAGTCTTGCCAGTTTTGGCTCGACTATGGACGAATATATCGTCAAAGTATGTTTGTGCATACGCCTCTGGGCCCGAAACAACTGCGTTATTAGACGATTAAACGTTGCAGGTGCGCTAGAAAGCCCTTAGGACATCACTAACCACTCCAGAGTATGCCACTCGGAGTGCTGACCACTGTCAGCGGGATATCACTAGTTCGCATGAGCAGTTGGTAATATCCATCGACTAAGTCGAGGGCATTGTACATTGTACATCCCTCCATATTGTTCTGAAGAACATCCTTGCGATGAATTGGTGTTTGAGCCGGGATGGTGGCTGCATTCAGCTTATTGTAAGCATGCACGATTCGCTACTTCCCATTAGGCTTTCTCACACAAAATGTAGGCGTAGAGTCAGGAGGCTTACTCTCACGCACCATGCCAGCCGCGTGCTTTGCACGAAAGAACTCGTCAATGACGGTCACATTATTCTCGTGGCAGCGGCCACTGTTGCGTCGCACAGTATTTGGTTCCTGGAACCAAGTCAATTCCATTACGTACACCTCTATCCGGAGGTAACCTCGTAGGAGGTTCTCTGGAGACAACATCTCCATATTCCTTCAACAAAGGAAAATAAGGATCCGAAGGATCCTTCAGGATCTGTGATCCCCTCCGCGCATTCAGCGCCTTCTTGACGCCTTCAAGAACTGTTTTATCCAAAAGCGATGAGGAGTTCAACTCCTCCTCAGGTTGTATAACGGCCACTACGGCGATGTCGCCTGCCTGTAAGGCGTTGCCAAACTCGGCAAAGGACAACTCGTCCAGATCTAACAGAGCGCTTACTGCGGGCATTGCTGAAAGAGCCACCGGCTCTTTAACATCCCCAGTCAAACCATTGAAGAGTGTATATAGCTGTTCGCTATCACCGTCACTCACGATATCATCATCGCTACTCATGATGCTCTCAGCTTCCGACGCATCAGTGTCAACAGGTGTAGACACCTTAAGGTCAAAGACCACTTCGTTTACTGACTGCACCACACCCTCTTGGGTCAATGTCTCGTCATGAGGTGCTCGCATCTCGTTGTACTCAAACACAACCATCATTTTGGCTTCACCGGACCCCCAGACCTTAATCGTCCCTTTAACGACTAGCAAGCCTGGCTTGCATTCTCGTTCCGTTCTAGAGTTCTTGGATCTTTGGGGCTGGGTCCTGTTTACTTTTTCAAGGTTCAACAGACTCAGTTTTTACCCGGTAGGAAGCCCTGCTCCTACTGGGTCCCGTCGTTTCCCCACGGCAATCAGAAGGTTTAACCATGAGGCGTCGGCCCTTCGAGGCCAAATATGCCTTTCTTACAGAACATTTTGCCATCAAATGGCCTGTTCTCTTGCAAGATATAACATCTGCGCACAATTTGCTGCTCCGCAGCTTGAAGCTCCGCTTCTTCATCCTTTACTTGGCTACAGTCCATGGGTTTAGATATTAAACAGAAAAGAAGACTTGTGAGTCAAAAGAACACGACGAGTTAAAAATGGTGGTTATAATGCATTACAATCCTGGAGTTTGTTTAGCTGAAGCTTTACCGGTACAGGAATTTCTGCTTCAATGGCCTATTTGGACAGACTTGGTTATTAAACGCAAAGCAGCTATGTTTCATCCGTGGTGTGTTTGGCACCCAACATACTCATCGCTTCAGCTGTTCCCGCAAGCCACAACTGATTTCTCGCGTAATGTCCATTCTAGAAGTTGCATCTTCGCCAGTCGTTGATGCAGCCCTATGTAGATTCGGTCAAAGCTATGTGTACTGACGTTCGCGATAGCACGATGCCCTCTCCCATTAGTGAATTTCCTATCGTAAAGGCAAGAATGTTACTCGGGAGCGGGCTGTCCCGTTACTCTTCTCGAATTGCTTTTACTTCATTTGTGCTCATGTTAGCTGCAACAACCTTGTCTCCCGTAGCATAAACCAACACATCTTTCACCTCGAAAGTTAATTTCACCATTACGTTATAGTACGCCCAGAACTGGCCATGCCAGCCTACAGGCCGTCCATATTTATTCAGCTTCACCTTGTGGGATATGTTGTCACCCCACTCAAGTAGAGTATCACCACTTGAACTCTTGCTCAAGTCTCGGCCGGATGTTTAGGTAGATTTCCGCCACTTGAACTCTTGCTCAAGTCGCGGTCGGATGTTTAACGTTAAAATTCCCTTCCAAACCGAGCTGCTCTTTGCACACACACTTACACCATTTGCTAGTAATGTTGCACAAAATGCTTCGTTACGCTTACGCCTTGTTCAGGCTTGGGCTCATAACCCTGTTGCAATCTCCTATGCGTCAGCTTTGTGTAGCTAGTTCAAGAAAACACCGGATATGTACTTTTGCTGCTAGTTCCAGACTGAGTACCTGTGTCGTTTTGAGCTGCCGTTTTAGCCACTGTTCTTCAATGTCTTGTCCCTCGTTATTTCAACTGCCACCTGCCATGAGCATAGATAACGACACAACTCGGTACATATTCGACGTAAGCTATGACACTGTAGTTGTATGACAAAGGAAAGATTGCTTCTACTGCTTAATCGCCAGCCTCCTTTTTTGCTAGCAAATGCTGATGTAAATAAGTAGTCTAGAGATGGTTTAGTTGTAGTGGATAGCCGTAGACATGATACAAATTTTGTAATTCATTTGGTTGATGAATGTAACCCTAGTACACTCTCCACTTTCCATAACGTTACCACATACTAAAATATGACCACAGGCGGCAAATCTCAGCGCAAGAGACTGCGGTGACAGTCAGAATTATACTTGAGCGAAAGCAATCGCCGCCAGGATAAGTTCTTACAACAGGCCATGGACAAACAGGGCTTTGTCTTCGTGCGTGTGTTTTTTTCCTTCAACAAGTGGGTTCATATGACGCACATTCACTCGGAATACTTTTAGGCTGCTGCTAATTGGACGTTCTAGATTGAAAGTACGAAAGGCAACCGAGCGCATGATCCTGGACGCAGCAGAAAATTCTTTGAAAATTCAAGCCGATCGGTGGCGCTTTTGCATTGCGCCAAAGATCATGCCAGCGGCTGGCCTGGATGACAACGCAAGTGCGATACTCACGTACACGCGAGTTTATTGCCACGAATAATAGTTTCCTAACCATACAAACGTATCTATATCTCTATGCAGTAGATGCCCGAACAATTTATATCGACAGCTTCGGTGCTACGGATGATTATGATTCGCTGCGACAGGCTTTTGCTCAGTTGGCAAGGTAAAGCTGGTGAGCCTGCAGAGATTCCAGCTA